ATTAGGTCTACAAGAAATTGTAGAAATACATGGTGTGCTGCGTGTGGCATATTACTTCACTTGGAATCTGAGAAAAAGAATTTTACCTTTTTTGTGGCCTTCCAAGCATAAAGATGGTTTAATCTAAAACAAATTTAAAAATGGTCTAAATAAAATTGGTCTAAAATAAATTGTAAAAATATTATTTATACTGTGTGTAGCAAAAAATTCTATTGTAATCTTATTTTGATTTTGAAGCTCCAATGCTAAATTGGAATGTGGTTTTGACATTGAGGCCCATCAGAAATGGTAGAAATAATACCTATGCAGTGTGCATGATATTGTTTAATTTTTGTAGTGTGAAAATACACTTTATTTGACCTGTACAGCTGAATGCATTGTGTTAATTTTAAATGCGCCTTACTCCAACAGTTGAAATGCTGCCTATGTAGTCTGAACAATATTTCTTCCTATTTTCTTTATCATATATACATTTAGATGTGGATAAGTAGTAGGGATGCACAGATACCAAGGTCTCGTACTTGGTACAAGTACTGATACATTACCAGCTCCAAGACTGGACTAGAGAAAAACTCAAGTTAGGAGGCAGCTGTCATTTTAGGGAGCATTGGCTAGGGGGCTCCTGGGATTTGTGCATCCCTGTTTTAATGTATGATTTGTTTTATATAAATGTATATTAGGGATGCATCAATACCATTTATTTCCTCAAGTACAAGTACCGATACTCACAGATACCAATTATTGATGCATTTTTGTTTAGTGTCATGTGTCAGTTTTTCTAAAACAATACAGACTAATGATTTCAGGACAGTGGTGGAGCGCCAGGGCCCAGTCGTAGCTGCAACCGTAGTTCTCGTGAAAATGCCAAGTATCGGCACTGGTTTCTGTGCATCCCTAATTAGTAGGATAAAAAGCTGCATGCTCTTTCACAATACATCCTACTCTAACTTAATCAGTGCTGACTGTACAACATCCTGCTTGTTGTCTGACATAATCCACTGTCATGTTTAATTGCTTGATAAAATTTACCTAATTTTTCTCTTCAAATTCTGCTTACAAAAAGGCTTTCATGATGTGCAACATGTCTGCTCTATATTTTTAGCTCATCTTTGACATAACCCATTGTAAATCATAATAAAACCTGACTTGTCTCTCCTGCTTGCACAGCAGCCTACTAAAAAGGCTTCCATAATGTGCAGCGTGTCTATTACATAATCCATTGTTATTTTTTATTGCTTGAAAAAAATTGCCTTCTCTCTTTCTCTCTCTTCAAATGTGGCCTACTAAAAAGGTTTCCATAATGTGCAACATGTCTGTACTGTATTTCTGGCTCTTGTCTGACATAACCCACTGTAATTCATGTCCTTTGTTTGACAATCCCTTGCCAATTAGCCTTGAAAATAGACAGATTTCACTTAAATAATAGGCATTGCAACTCATTCGGTAAATGTGCCCACGAATCAAACACAAGCACATTCACCCATAATTGTTCATAACCCAATAAACTGTTATTTCTCACACTAACTACTGGAGATGATGCAACAGCAGCAATCAGAAATAATCACTGTCCTGAGCTTAGGAGAAACCTAGCAATCACAGAGAATACAAACAAAGCTTGGACTGAATACAGTCTAGCTGCAAACACTAAATGTATCTAGTTACAACCCAGACTAGGGCAGGCTGCCTACACAAAACTGAACAGATATTGCCCTTATGCCTGGGCACCCCCTTCCCCCTTTGAGGCCTCCATTTGTACTTTATTTTTTTTATTTCATAATAACCATTTCCAGATGTCTTCAGGCTGGTCATGTGCATATGCAGGGTCCTCGTCTTTGGATTTTCTCCCAGTAGTAGGCAGCCCTCCATGATGCAGAAAGCATGGCTGACAAAATCACAGCATGGATGCTGTGCCCAAGGAGAACAGGTATACAGAGATAATTATTTACCTCCCCAAACTCTTCTCTATACAAAATATCGGTCTCATCTAATTATTTAAAAAAATATATACTAATAAATTGTTTGATAAACATTAGTTATATACTTATCAGTCATAGCTACTGTAGTTGCATGTAATATGTTCCTAAACAAAAATTAATAATTATTGTATAGGAGACTAACAATGCTTACAGAAAATGACTTGCTTAAAATAGCTCATGCTTTAGATTGTTTCTGCCAGGGGCGGACTGACCATACGGGCATTGCCCGAGGGCCCGCGGCCAAAGAGGGGGCCCGTCACCGACCCCCGTGTCCTTTTCAGCCCGCATGGAAGAGGACGCAGGTTTATTGAAGCGGCAACGGCAGTGTCGCCCGCCTCCCGGGCCCACTGTACACTGCCGTTGCCGCTTTAGCAGAGCCGCATCTCCTACAGCGGAGCGGCCGAGAAGAGCTCTGAGGTGATGGCATGCCGCAGTGGAGGGAGGGCGGACCTACCGCGGGGGGCGGACGGAGGTACGAGAGCCTCATGCTAGGGGGGCCCCACTGAGATCCGGCCCTGGTCCCCCCACTGGAGCAGTTCTACAAAAACCCCGACTGGAACCTGGGGATTGGGAGCCTTGATGCTGGTAAGTGAATTTAATGACTTTTTTTTTTAGCTGTAAACTGTTAACCTTTTAGTCTCCATTCACATACAGCATTTGTGCTTCCCGTGCCGTTTTTCATGTGGGAGCCCGCATGGGACGCAAACGCTATATGTGAACTGCATGGATTCCGCTAGTTTACGGTCATTATATAGTCGTGAACGTGCGGAATCCACTGGATTATCTTGCAGTATTTTGGGGGTCGTGCGGGTTAAAGCTCCATTCACACTGGAGTAGCTGTCCGAATATGAGCGGAGCCGCTCTAAACAGAAATAAAATGCACTTTTATCTGCTTTATCAGACTATTGTGGGAAACCGCACGGCCCCCAACATAGTGCAAGTGCGATAATCCAGCTGATTCTGCACGTTCACGGCTATTTAATAGCTGCAAACGAGCGGAATCCGTGCAGTTGTTTCACATATAGTGTTTGCGTCCCGTGTGCAAACGCTATGGGGGTTATTCACCGAGTGAATAACGGAGCCAAAGTGAAGTGAGCTGAACGCTGTTCGGCTATTCACTTCAGCCTTGTACGGTTGATTTCAGCCGTACATGGGTTAAAATCAGACGTACATCGGCTGCCTTCGGTCAGCCAAACATGCTCTGTATGTTCGGCTGAGCCGAAGTGCAGGAGGAGTTCGACTCAGCCGCTCCAACATCTGTATCGGCTGAGCCTGAAGCTCCGGCAGCTCACTCACTGCCATTCACCCCTATTCTCATAGGGGCCAAACGGCAGTAAGTAAATAGCCAAATGCCCAAACGGCCATGGTAGAGAGCAGAATAGGAAAAAATTACAAAAATGTAGAAAAATTGTTTAAAAAACGTAAAAAAAATAGGAAAATTTAAAAAAAATGAAAAATATTTTAAAGAAAAAAAACGACACATCCTGTTTCCTATTGGCCGGCACCTGCCAGAGTCTTCTAGTAGGTCCCGGCCAATGAATAACAACTGGGTGGAGCCGGCTGTGATGTCACGGCCGGCTCCGCCCAGTTGTTATTGTTTAATGACAGATCAGCATCCCCTGGTCATTTGGGGACGCTGATCTGTTATTACAACTGGGTGGAGCCAGCCATGAAATCACAGCTGCCTCTGCCCAGCTGTCATCTGCATGGAGAGCAGTCGTCTTCGGCTGACCTTTCTCCCTGCTTCGGCTGTGAATATGACTCAGCCAAGCTGAAGCCTATGGGTTCGGCTCGGCTGCTGTACGGGCTATAGTGAATATTGTGAATAGCCCCTACAGCAGCCCTTTGGCTGTGGATGGGGCTTGTATATGGGTGGAGCACAAGGGGGCCCCATAATATTGTATTGCCCGGGGGCCCCATGTGTTGTCAGTCCGCCCCTGGTTTCTGCCACAAATGATATTTTCAGACTTTTAATGATATGATGTTGTTTATGGTAATGAATCTTCGCCTCCTTCCATGTAAAAAATGGAACATAGACTAGTGTTTAAAGTTTTGTTTTTCTCATAGATAATGGCACAGACCTAGCTGATGCTGCCTGTGTTGTGAATAGATAAAAGGTGACATCATGAATGCTATTGACTTCAATGTTTATTTCATTAATATATACAGTAACTATTTCTTCAATAACCAATGTTTTTCATGCCACACAGGAAGCTGAATAATTATTGTGGCATGTCAGCCAGTAGATTGTAGGAAGCAGAGGAAAAAGAGAGAGGATTAATTGTTTTGAGCTTGTACAAGAGAAAATAAATAAAACTCAAGCATGTTAGATGTAGAACGGCCTTTGGATTTGTGCTATATCGCACTTGACGAGCATTGGTTTCATTTATATATTATGATTTGTTGCATACCCTTCATCATGACATGTTTACTGAACTGGCTTTCAGTTTTGTGATTTTTTAAGAACTTTCAGTTTTGTGATTTTTTAAGAAGTCAGGTTGACTGACTTCTTAAACCATTCATCATCTAAAACCATTCTTTCTTTTTGGATAAAGTGGAATAGGTATGACATCATCTAAAACCATTCTTTCTTTTTGGATAAAGTGGAATAGGTATGTAACATCCATTATTGTTCTGTTTTAAATGCCAATGCATGCAAAGACATACCTAGTAGATCCTAGTCTGTGTGGACTCTATGGCTATTTGCTGTCTTGGCAGAATCAACAGGCAGCCTAATTATACACTGAGTGGCCAGATTATTATGACCACCCCATCAGTACTTCGTTGGGCCACGAGATAACTTCGTTGGGCTGCCTTGTGACTCCACGAGATGTTGAAAGGTGATGCAAGGAATCTGACACTGCACTGTTGCCCTTCTGTTGTCTTGTACCAGTCTTGCTACTCTCCATTCTGCCCTAACATTGACTAGTCGCTGACGGCCACAATTCTCATGTTCAGACCCAGATTTTCGGCTGACAGTCCAGTCTTTAAACACTTTAACAACAGCTGCTCCTGAACATTTAACGAATTCCTCAGTTTTGCTGATACTCGCTCCATGGCTTCGAGCGCCAACAATCATCCCACTTTCAAAGGCTGTTAAATCGCGTTGTTTACCAATATCTTCAGAAAAAAATCACTTCTACTGTCGTGGTAAACAACCTGCTTCCCTATTTATAATGGTCTGGCCCTCTAGCAACATCACCGCGAAATTATAGCTAATTATAACTAATTTGCCTTCAAACAGCAGGTGGTCATAATAATCTGGCCACTCAGTGTATAAGACACAAAAGTAAAATTCAACATAGTTTTACTTCAGATAAGTCCAATACAAAGAATAATTTTTCCAGTATTTTGAAGACATTAACTTTCTTAAGACCTGTCCCTGCTGAGCAGCAGGAACGGGGAGTGCCTAGCTAGCGACTGTACTAACTAGTGAAAAAACAGGAGGGGGGACAGGGGAACATGCCAAAGGCACAACAATGAACAGGCTGCTGCTTGCTGTCTGTGTCTCCTTTGGGGACATTATCACCTGTGACTTCTGGGACACTGAAGCTGAAAAGATATTGGATATAGAAACCTGTACAGGTCTGGTTCTTCAGAACCACAGTCAACCTGACTCATAAGCCATGTATTGATGACTTGCATTTGTGTCTAACTTAACCTAAGCTGACCCTCAACCCTAAATACATTAGAGAGTAGCAGTGAATTCCCAAATTAGACTGCAAAGGTAAAGGTGGCCATACACTTTACAAGCCTTGCAAGACTTTTGTCTTGCGAGGGTTGTAAAGTAATCTAAAAAATGTACGATCTGCCCATCTTGGACAGGCAGATCGTACTTGCGATCATCGCAAGCCCGCCCCCCCTGAGGGGCGGGCTTCTGATGGCTGCAATGAGGGGCGGGCTTCCGATGACTGCAAATGGGCAGTCACACCGGCCCGTTCAGCAGTTGTCGAACAAGCAGGCCACTAACCCGCCGAGAATCGTACCTTACAATAGAAATGGTTGCACGCCTTCCATACACTTTGCGATTATCGCCTGATCACGGGATTTCCCGCGATTCTCGTACGATAATCGTACAGTGTATGGGCACCTTTAGAAAGAGTGCTATAGACTGCACATATTAGGTTGCCCACATTAAAAAGACTACCAGACAATGCAAGACAAATACCAGAAAGCTCTAAACGTCTGTATTATAAATCAAACAAACCTAAAGTGTATGTCAAAACATTTTTGTTTTAGTTCTGAACAGAGTGGGAAAAATTAAGTAGGAAAGTGTCAATTATTGCATTTATATATTAGATTTTTTTTAATATGCTAGTTTTTAATGTAATATGTCATATTTATTTTATTTTGATAGTTAACCATATTCATTTT